AAAAAAAAAAAAAAAGACTCAAAAAAGAAAAGAGAAGAGCAACAAAGATGATTAGAGGACTGAGGTTAAAACATATAAAGAACGATTGCTGGAATTGCATATGTCTAGTTTAATGAAAGGAGAACAAGGGGTGACATGAAAGCAGTGTTCCAATATCTCAGGGATTGCCACAATGAAGAGGGGGTCAAGCTATTCTCCAAAGCACCTGAAGGCAGGACAAGAAGCAATGGGTAGAAACTAATCAAGGAGAGAAGCAACCAAGGAGAAATTTCTTGACAGTTAGAACAATTAATCAGCGGAACAACTTGCCTCCAGAAGTTGTGAATGCTCCAACACTGGACGTTTTTAAGAAGAGATTCGATAACCATTTGTCTGAAATGGTGCAGGGGTTTCCTGCCTAAGCAGGGGGTTGGACTAGAAGACCTCCAAGGTTCCTTTCAACTCTGTTATTCTATTCTGTTCTGTTCTATTAAGAGTTGGCCTCAGCTAATTGTGAGTTCACTGTGGCAAGATGACTGTGGCAAGTTGCCCTGGAACTCATCATTTTTAAAGAATATGTCCTCTGATGCAACTTTATCTCATCCCCAGACCTAGACAGACTTGAACAATTGAGTTTTAGGGTGTTTTGCCTTTTCTCTTGACTCAGGTTTTGTCATTTGTACATTTTTTGATGCCTCATGTGGGTGATGATGCAATCTGGCACTCATCTGCTTTCATTTGGCCATTTCACCATGCTGACCTCTTCTCTCTCCTGTGGCCATTTTGGCTTGGACTGTTGGAGAGGTGGGGAATCTGGCTTCTGTAGGGGCCTTACCCAGAATCACTATATATAACATTAAGAAGTTCATTTTTATTGTGTGCCAATACATTCACAGAAAAAAAGTGACAATCAAGGTTATCTTATAACATAGGTTTTCTTGGCAACTTTAAGATGTGTGGACTTCAACTCCCAGAATTCTGCAACATGAAATAACAATATTCCGGAACCTGATCATGTTACTGATCAGCCCAGTTTATCTGATTTTTTTATATATATTTTGCATCTTATTGTAGATGTTTTTATTCAAATTGCATTGTTAGTGTGCTTTACTGTAATCTAACCTGAAAGCTTCAGCTACTGTGTGGTTTTAAAATATACATTTCAAAAAATTGCTTTTCCGCTGACTTGAGTACTGGAGGAATATTCAATAATGTGGTTGTGACAAAGAGCCCACAATGAAGACTGGAAATGCTAATCAAGAGCTATGATGGTTATAGTCTGACTGATTTTGGTTTCGTTTTTAGATGTGCAAAATGTTTTTGATTAATGAATTGTAGCTATTAACTGACTAATTATTGTAGTCCAAGCTTTTCTCTCTCTTTCTCAATTTCACTGATACTTTCACTTTTACCATTGCCTAAACTCTTATCTTTAACAGTCTAAATAATTTTGTGTACATGCAAGGTCCTTTTTCTCATAATAGGGAAGTTACAGCTACTTTCTTTTCCACTTTGATAGAGTGGCTTCTCCCCCCCCCCCCCCCGCCCCAATCATATACACTTTTAGTGCATAGGTGTCTACAGTAAGTGAGCTTAGGGAACCTAGGCAAATAATTTTTATTCTGAAAGACCTTTTAAAAATGGTTGAGGATTCCGTGCCGTTCAATAAGTTACGTTCCAATTATGACAGTTCTGAAGATGCTAAGAGCAAATATTTTACCAAGTAACATAAGGTTGGAAACTTCAAAACAGCTCCTATTAGAACTATCACATATCTCCTTTGTGGAAAATAATCGGGAATAGTCATATTTCAGTCTTGCAAAACGAAGCCGCAAGAGATAATAATATTATTGCTCAGTATTCTTCATTAGTTAATTTATCCGTGTTCTTTTGTATGCAAAACTATTTTAGCCTGAAGGAAAGGGAAAGAATCATCTTTCTCATAGTTATAAAAATTTCCTGCCTGTTTATCTTGAGGTGATTCTTACTCACCGTGGGGAATAAGATGAGCTATTATAAGCTTTTTCGTGCTCTCTATCTGATACTGCTAAGATATTTCAATTCTTGCTCTATTGGTCCTTGAGATAATCGTGTAAATGGTTTGTTCTCTTGCCAGCTTCATGGTTATGTGGACCACAAGCCCTTGGGCCTTCAGATCTTCATTGGAACAGCAGATGAGAGGATTCTTAAACCACATGCTTTTTACCAAGTCCATCGCATCACAGGGAAAACAGTCACTACCACCAGCTTTGAGAAAATCATTGGCAACACCAAAGTGCTGGAAATCCCTCTGGAGCCAAAAAACAACATGAAAGCAACGTAAGGTTCTATATTAGAAAATGTTGTAAGATAGCAACGTAGGAGAACTTAATACATTTAATGTAAAAGATGCCTGCATTTCATTTGTAGAGAAAACTCTCAAGCATAAGCCCACTTTGCTTTACCATGGCATTTGAGTTGACTTATTTCCCTCTTAGGTTTTGAACTGAGGTGAGCATCAAATGGTCTAGTGCCGGGATGGCGAACCTATGGCATGCGTGCCACAGATGGCACACGGAGCCATTTGTCAGGGCATGCGAGACTTTAGTCTTTTTTTTGAGGCCATTTTTCACCCTCTCCAGGCTCCAGAGGCTTTATAGGAGTCTGGGGAGTGCAAAAACAGACCCCCCCCCATTCCCTTGAGGCCCTCCGGAGGCCTCAGGAGCTTTCCTGAAGTCTCCGGAGCACAAAAAATGCCCCTAGGGGCAAACTAGAAGTTCAGGAACTGACTTCTGGTTTGCTTGTAGGGCCGGTTTAAGCCCTCTGGAGCCTTCAGGGGCATTCTAGAGGCTTCTCTGAAGGCTCCGGAGGGCTTAAACCAGCCCTATGAGCAAACTGAAAGTCCATTCTGGTTTGCCTGTGGCTGGTTTTTTGTGCTCCGGAGGCTTCAGGGAAGCTCCTGAAGCCTCCAGAGGGCCTCCGGAGGCACAGGGGAGACTGTTTTCGCCCTCCCCAGGCTCATATGAAGCCTCTGGAGCCTGGGGAGGGTGAAAAAAATCCATGCAAAAAATTTTTTTGGGGGGAAACACCTGTCATGCACGCATGTGTGCTGGGGGTCGCACATTGCATTATGGGTGCGGTATGCCCATGCATGACCCCCTTGCGCTCCCCCCACTTTTGGCACGTGAGCCAAAAAAGGTTCACCATTGCTGGTCTAGTGTCTTATATTGATCATTCACATTTGGATGGATGGATGGATGGATGGATGGACGGACGGATGGACGGACGGACGGACGGAACAGTATAGCTATAGTTTAGCTTCTTGCTCAAGTCGTTGCAAGTGTGGAGTATGTATGTGGCTCATGATTGAACTGTAGTTCTTGATGATCTAGAACAGGGCTGTCAAACTCCCGGCCCATGGGCCAGATGCATCACACACTGGCCACGCCCATGCTCAATTTAATGAAGGGGGGGAAAGTCCCGATACGCCACGTGATGCTGTCATGATGATGTGAGTTTCCCTGGTCTAGAAACATAAATGCCTAGAGCAAGAAAACTAAATTCAGAAAATACCAAGACTCCAGTGAATCATTGTTCCAGGAGGGACAATAACATCGATAAGAAAAATATTGTCAGCTGGTTAAGACTGAAAACTCACTGCAATATATTCCCTAGAATAATGGAAAGTTGTAGATATAGGAATGTTTGTATCAACCAGTGCTATTGAAGTGGTCCATTGATATCAGTTTATTTCCAGATTAGGAGTACATAAAGAATTTCATGAATAAGGCAGCTGGAATTACTTGCACTTACCTGCTTTGGAACGCTTGTTTGATTGGCAGGGTTGCAAGCTAAAGCGGCAAGTTTGAATCCATATTCTTGCAGAGGTACAGTGGTCCATTTTTCCCTAGGGGAAGATAGAGAATCAGCCAGCCCCTTGCTGAGATTCCATAGATAGAAGCCAAGCATTCCTGGACCATTAAATCTATAGTCATAATCAGAGAAACAAAAACAGACATTAATTTCAGGAGTGGGGAGTGTTTGCAAATGTAATCGTGAGTAAAAAAAATATTGATGACACTGGACAAGGATTATATCCCGTTATTTGTTTGTTTCATAGCATTGACTGCGCAGGAATTCTCAAGCTGAGGAACGCAGATATTGAATTACGGAAAGGAGAAACCGATATTGGCCGAAAGAACACACGTGTGCGATTGGTGTTCCGTGTGCACATCCCTGAATCTAGTGGCCGGATAGTTTCTTTGCAAGTTGCATCCAACCCCATTGAATGCTGTAAGTCATACTTTTCTGGCAATTTTATTATTTTCAGTAACATTGTTTCTGAAACCCATAACTTTACAACAGAGGTCCCCCAAACCCCAGACTGCAGCCTGGCACTGGTCTGCAGCCCACCAAGAACCGGGCCACGCAAGCCCCATCTGAATCCCCATCCACATGGGATGTATGAGATCCACGCAGAGGTGATATTCAACAGGTTCTGACCAGTTCTGGAGAACCGGCAGTGGAAATTTCGAGTAGTTCAGAGAACTGGTAAATAGCACCTCTGACTGGCCCTGCCCCCATCTATTCTCTGTCTCCCGAGTCCCAGCTGATTGGGAGGGAATGGGGATTTTGCAGTAACTTTCCCCTGAAGTGGAGAGAGAATGGAGATTTTACAGTATCCTTCCCCTGCCATGCCCACCAAGCCACGCCCACAGAACTGGTAGTAAAAAAAAATGCATCCCACCACTGGATCTAAGGCAACATGTGAAACCATACCTCCTACATGGAAAAATCACCCTTCACGGAATTGGCCCCTGGCGCCCAAAAGCTTGAGGGCCACTGTTTTGCACGACTGAAATACAGGAAGTGTAGGATTGAGACTGTCTGTCTTAAGGACAACCCGTAGATGCAAACAGGCCACCTATTATTAAAAATGGCAGATTGCTTTCTTCTTTCTCTAGTCAATGAAGCATTGAAGCCATACAATGTTTACAGGAATGGCTGATAAGACAGCCTGTATGTTGAAAATGCGCAGTTTCAAGGGTTCCTGAAAGCATTGCATGGCTTCAGCCCTTTGTCTGTTCAAGAAGGGAGAATACCATCTGCTATTTGTAGTAACAGGCAGTCCATTTGTAAGTGCAAGATCTGACTTAAATGCAAAGTTGGATTAAAGACAGAGTTAGGGAACACAACTTGTTCTTCATTCAGGAACAGCCTTTAAATCTGGAAAACATGCTAAGCTCTTGCCAAAGGCAACCACCACTTTTTACTTCCTGTCTTTTAATCCTTAATGTAAGAGTTTGGGCTTTGATCATGTGTGATGCATCCTTATTTATCTGGGACTGTCTTACGAACTTGAAGATAAACTTCGTATTGCACCATTAACAGAGAGATGTTGCAAACTCACTGACTTATAAAAGAGTGCCCAAATGTAGCAGCATTCTTCCAGAATAGATAGCTCAGTATGATTTTGTGCACATGCCTCTAAGATTGTCTGGTACTAAAAAAATATTGGGAGTTTTCTAATTCTCACAGTGAATTCATCTTATAATTCCAAGCAGTATTATCAGGGATCACCAACCTTTCGCACCTCAGAGACCACTAAATTCATAATTTTAAATCCCACAGACCAGTAATATGAACTGCCCAATGACTGGCTGGGTGGGCGTGGCTAGGTGGTCATGTGACTGGGTGGGCGTGGCCAACTCGATGTCACTCACATCAAGGAGCACCTCGCCAGTCTCTACTCGCCCCTCCTCTCCCAGCCACTCCTCACCTCCCCACCTGGGCTCCTTAGGGCCCCAACAGGAAGCAGTTGTTGGAGCTAAGCAGCCACCACGAGAAAGAGTTGACAAAACAGCTGGCTCAATTCAAATTGGATATGACCGAGAAGGAGGCTCAATAGAAGCACCTCATTGAGGACTACGAGCATATGCTTTCCAAGCATAGGGAAGACCTGCGGGAGTGCAAGGCCAGATACCTGGAGGCTCAGCAGGCTGAGATGGTCAGCCAGTTCCAGGCCATGATGCAGTCCCACTGGTACAAGGCCCTTCAGCTTGTCGCCACCAGCCACACTTCCCTCCAGCCTTCCCCCAAAGCTCTGCCCCAGGAGGCTGCAGCAGACCCCAAGTTGGAGTTTCTGCCCCCCTCCGACCCACACAAAAAGAAATTGAACTGCAGCAACACAAACGTTCATTAGACATATCCATCCCAGGGGGCATAATTTGAGTACCCCTGATTTAGTGCAATATAAAAAATGCAAATAATTTTTCTGCGGATCACCAGTTGGTGACCACTGATCTAAACAATACATGAAGTATAGTGTACTCTCCCGTCATGTTTTCCATGGGGACAATGTCCTGGGCTTTTTGGTAGGTGAGCCTCCTCTTAAATAAGCCACTTTATCTTCCCTTGAGATAGGAGGATGTTAAAAATATTTATGGGTCCGTTTGATGAGTTGAGATCTGTGTCATGGCCTCATTCTAAGCACCTCAAAGGAGGCTTAGTCATTTTGGGAGAACTTACCCTCGTGACCATCTTTTCTCATCCTGTATTGTATTTTTGTTAGTAACTTGAGTTTTCTCGGTGGTTTGGGGATTTCATAGTTTAACAAATCATTTTTACATCTCATCGTATGACTGATATTAGTGTACAATACACTACATATTAGTGTAACAATGAACCACCTGAGAAAGGAGGCTTTGAAAGATCTGCTCTGTGGTTTTTTGATCACAGCAAAATGCTTTCCCTAAGACACATTTGTATTGGAGATGCACTCTGTTAAAATGGGGTTAGGTTTGCAATTGAAATCATCTGTAAAAGTTTTATTATCAGTTGTTGGTGTTTGTTTTCTTGGATGAGGACAAGATCCATATACTTTTATGTTCTATTTCTGTTGTATCCTGATAAGTCAATCTATAAGTGTGTTTGTGACAATGTGTTACTGCTTATGGTTTGCATGTGGTATCAAAATTGGATTGTCTCTTTCCATGAAGATTTCCTTTAGTTAATCTGCCTGCTCATTGTAAATTGGATGAAGAATTTAACCATTTCTTAAAACACACACATACAACATATACCCTCACTTACAAATTTTGGGCAATTCTTGGACTCATAGTTTAATAATATCAGTATGCATCTTAGTGCTTTGACTGACATTCTTTTTTAAAAAAATATTGATATTTAGTAAGAATGTTACATAAAGCAAAAGAAAAGCCTAAGGGAAAGAAAGGAAATATTATAAAAGGTGACTTCCTACTTTCTCTTCAGCAGATAATTATCTTATAATCCCTCTTCTGAGATGTCATACACATCCCTTCAGCCTATCACTGAAATCCACATTATAACATTGTTCACCAAATGTGCACATTTTCTCCTTATTCTTTGTATTGATGAAGTTTCTTAGTTACAGCATTGCTGTAGGTAGATTTGATGAACAGCAAGCTTTCAGGGACACGGTGGCTCAATGGCTAAGACACTGAGCTTGTCGATCAGAAAGATTGGCAGTTCAACGGTTCGAATCCCTAGCGCTGCCTAACCGAGTGAGCTCCTGTTATTTGTCCCACCTTCTGCCAACTGAGCAGTTTGAAAGCATGTAAAAATGCAAGTAGAAAAATAGGAGCCACCTTTGGTGGGAAGGTAATAGTGTTCCATGTGCCTTCGGTGTTTAGTCATGTTGGCCACATGACCACAGAGGTGTCTTTGGACAGCGCTGGCTCTTTGGCTTTGAAATAGAGATGAGCACCGTCCCCTAGAGTCGGGAATGACTAGCACATATGTGCAAGGGGAATCTTTATCTTACCTTTAAGCTGGCTAGAGATGTGTGGCCAACCCCATTAAAATAGTTGATCAGAACTGTCATTCCTTATACTTGATGAATGGGGATGGGGGTCATGTGAGCATGTTTGTAAGGTCAAAAGGCATTTATTATCTCTGGAATTATAAAACAGGTAGAGCTCTCCAATTTCTCACATCAGTATGTTGTCAGCCCTGGAGGACATATTTTTCTTGGATTCTTCAGGGCTGCCACATTTAGTGTTGTGGGAAACTGGGAGGGGGGATTGCATGGAGTCACAGGGATATCTAGCCTAAATAACATTCCCTTCTCAGAGAGTCAAGGACATTCGGCTTGCACCTGGAGTGGCGTGACTGGGAGACACCTCCAATTGGAACAGTGCATTGATTGGACCATGTGATGGACATGTGGGTGCAGGGGGAAGGGACTTGGACTTTCTTTTGGGTGGGGAAAAGCTGGAATCTATCAGATTTGGGTTTTCCCAGATGTGCCAATATGGCATCTCTAATAAAATGGATTTTTGAGGAGTGCTGGCCTTGCAGTCTTCTTTCGTTGGGGATGTTACTTGAAACTCTGACATATGTAAAGTTGTATCTTTACAAACAGGGATTCTCTTTACTAGCAAACCACTCAGGGACTGGTGTTGTAGACGTCAATCCCAGGAGAAAACTCACTGAAATAGTAGTGTTATTAGTTAGTTCATCTGTTGCTCCCACTAACTGTAGTCCCTTGAGTTGGTGGTTGCTAGCCACAAAGCATCTAAAAGCTCCAAGGAGATCAGCAGCTGCAAAGAAATAAGAACCAACTTGAGTAGAGATGTCGTATTCCCCATCACGGGTCTTGAGGGATGTGCTCTTTCATAATTGAAAGGGTGAGGATTATAAACTCGGGATGATTATAAAGTAAGGTACTAAGAAGCTGCCTGTATGGGAAGCGAAAAGTAAACACTCTCTTGATCTGAGATTAATTCATAACAATTACATGAAAATATCCATGTTCACCTCATAGTCTCAGTATGGAATTTGTTCATCCTTGCCATGTTCTGTGAGCTTTTTCCAACTTCCCACTCCAGGTTTACAACCTTGACCTATCAATCAAATTTTGTCCAAATTAGATTTTGCTCAGCATTTTGCTTTTAAATCAGATGGTGTTGATTGAAGACAGATGGGGCAGGTCTACCTGCGGCTGGATATTTGTGATGAATGATGTCTCCAAAGGAATCTCTTTGTGTAGATTTTTCTCAGAAATCTGGCAGCAATATGGAGTGAAAGAAATCATTTTCCTTGAATAGCTGAAAGATAAGGTGCAATGTTTGAACAAGAACACATGATGTGTCGAGAGTAAAGATGATGACCCTTGATGAAAAGGGAGAAGATTTGTTGCCAAAGCAACAAAAAGGGAAACATTGCTTGAGTCAAACAATGAGGGAGGATTACAAAAACATCTCAAACACCCCTAAGAAAGTCTTTAGTTTGAAACCCTGGAAAGCTGCTAT